GACAGGTGTCTTCCTTCCTCTATCAATTTCCACCTCCTACTGCCTGGAGAGGAGGTCACTCACTGAACCGGAAGTTCATCATTTTGGATAGGCTGGCTAGCCAGGAACCTCTCAGGATCTGCCTGCCTCTGCCTGTCAGTGCTCTTCACACGTGTGCTGAGAAATCAAACTCAAGTGTTCACAATTACAAAGCAAGTACCCCTTCTTACCCACTGAGTCATCTCCCTGGGCTACCCTTTCTCTAGTCTCATGAAATCCTCACTAATCACCTTCTTCTTCTTCTTCTTCTTCTTCTTCTTCTTCTTCTTCTTCTTCTTCTTCTTCTTCTTCTTCTTCTTCTTCCTCTTCCTCTTCCTCTTCCTCTTCCTCTTCCTCTTCCTCTTCCTCTTCCTCTTCCTCTTCCTCTTCTTCTTCTTCTTCTTCTTCTTCTTCTTCTTCTTCTTCTCTTCCTCCTCCTCCTCCTCCTCCTCCTCCTCCTCCTCCTCCTCCTCCTCCTCCTCTTCTTCTTCTTCTTCTTCTTCTTCTTTTCCTAACAGGGGCACTGAGGACCACAGGGAAACACGGCTGGTTCCCTTGACCTCTGACTGTGGCAGCACACATACACTTACTTGTTTGCTCTTTGGAAAATTTCTTGCCTCGAGGCTGCTCTTGTCATTGGGCCGCTGAGACACCTCAGTGCCAAACTTTCCTCTGTTAAACCAGATTCCCATGAAGCTTACCCATCTCTAGACACAAGTGGAAGGACAATAGAAGTCTCAATGCTGTACCTCCTCTCCCCTCCCCTGGCTCAGGCAGGCTGTCCCATGGCTGTCCCTCCCCTCCCCTGCCATGTCCTTCCTGGTTCAGCTGTGACAACTGAGTAAGGCTCCTAGATCAGATTCCAGCCACAGCGCCACCACTTCCCAGGGTTTCTCTCATGCCTGCCTTTAGTGGGTGTGTAGAGATGCTTCCTTTTCTGAAGGCACCACAGAATTCAAACCGAATTAGCCATGGCACTCTCCCTCTTTCCCGGCTAGGCTGGGAGCAGATGGTTAGGGAAGATGGTGTAGAGAGTCATGGTGAAGAGTGGGCTGTTTGGTGATGGGGATGGAAGCAGAGTCCTTGGCCGCTCCTACTCTTACCCTTCATGAGCCCCAGGAGAGATATTTCACTCTAGAATGTGAGGCACTTATAACCCGGCTCTTTGAGCTTGGGCGCAGTTCTGTAATTCCAGAAAATCAGAAGAAGAAGAAGAAAAAAATCAATCTCAAATACTATGAAAGACATAAAAGTCAACAGGGAAGGCCGTTATGGTAGAATAAACTGTTCAGGTTGAACCGGGGAAAAACGTAATCTTCTAGTCAAAGAACAACTACACGTTGGCCATATTTGTTCAACTGGTGAAGAAGCATCCTACTGAATGGGGCTTTAATGTGATCTAAAATTCCATTTTCTTTCTAATTTTTTTCTCATGTATAAGAATATTATGTTTTAGAGTACAGTGTAATTTTTTTTGTCAAAAAATTTTCTGTGTGTTTGAAGACAATGCATATAAAGAGAAATGTGTTTTCAGCAAGAGCTTGAGAAAATACAGAAAGATGCCAATAAGAAAACAAGACATAATCCAGGATTCTGTGACTGAGATGAGTTTGATGGGACATAGAATTCAGATCTGGAACCATTTGGGATTGGACCATAAAAGGGAAATCACACTGCATTCTGATTTCACTTTATTTTTTTTTTTTTATGTTGGGAAGTTGTTTAATGAACACATTTGGGATAATGAGATTTGGAATATGGAATCTGTCTAAAACCATCAGGGCTGTGAGACAATAAAAATGATATTTTCATGTCCCTTAGAGTTGTTTTGGATTTCTAAAGTGAAGACTGAGTGAATGAGGAGAGTGAATCACAGAGAGCGAAAGTACTTAACACCCTAACTGAAATTCTCAAATCCTCCAGAAGAAAACATTAGGAGCTTTTATCGCTGTTGGCCGTGGAGCCTCTGAGAACCAACTGCAGCAAACAAAGTTTTTGCTGTGATGGCAGTCTTGTTCTCAGGGCTCCATTAAAACACCACAGGGTCCCCCCAACCCCTGCAGACTCATACTCATACCATCCTCTTCCATAATTTCAATCCTGGGGTCCAAAAAGGGGAAGCAGGGGAGTGCAGCCCCAACCCAAGGAATGGGGCTTAATTCCTAGACTTGACTGCATTTGACGTTTTCTTCAAAACACACAGAAAAGCAAAAACTCACATAATAAATTCATCCACAGAATGACTCTTCACACAGGAGAAGGCAGCCGAGGGCATAGTTAAAGGTGTGGACTCAGCCATGTTCCTGGGCTTGCACTCTTGTTTTGGCAAGAGGCGCGAAGTTTGTCTTAGGCAAGCTAAATATCCTCTGTGAGCTTTCCTTCCTTCTCTGTGAACTGGGTAAGAACTGCCTATGTGGCATGCTCAGCGTCTTACGAAAGGGTACAGAGAAATGTGTAGGAGGTGACGGCAGTGGGGAGGTGTATGGGGAAGGAGTTGAGAACTCCTCAGAAATAGACAAACATTTGAGTGACTTAGAGGGAAACTCAGTAGGCAGGCAGAAATGCTTATGAGGAGTCTGGAGTGACCTAGGGATGCTAAACTTGGAGAAGACCCAGATGACGTACACGCTCAGTGGTGCCAGCGAAAGGTATTGCTTCCTTCCTTTCTCAACAATCTAAACTCAGGGCGAGAATAGAACGAGATGGAAAAGGGGACTTAGGCAATTGGAGAGCCAGAGTCCAACAAGAGTAGCCAGACAGCCTGGCCAGCAGCCCTGAGGTATAGTCAACTCACCATACTCAGCACTGTAAAGAAGACCCATTTATTCTATAATTAGCACATGATAAGCGGAATGGTTTCTCCCATCTTGGCGGGAGGTTCTGGAATGTTCAGTTACAACATGGGTATGCTATCAGAAGATTTCATTTCCTGAATCTTTCACTGTTGGGTCACTAGTACGTTGGACTCCAAGACAGTCTGGAAGGGAGCAAAAGCCAATACCTTTTTTGACAACAATTAAACCCTTGGATTTATACAATGTGACATGGCTCGAGGGGCATTGTTTAGCTTTTGGCAGAGCTATGAATGCCTAGGGCAGAACACCAAAGGGAAAAAAGGTCTACTTTGAAAGCTCTCTCAGAACAAATCTGAGGGAATTTGCTGGTTAATGCAAGTACATGTCTAAACAAGTACTGGTTTGCTGAGGGAGTACATGGGGCTGGCAAGCCTCACTTGGCACAGAGACCATGAGTAATGCTTCATTTTAACGAGGGATCTTGGGGGTCTATAATGAGGACTGTGTGGTATTTCCCATGCGTCTTTTTGGAACGTGGGCTGATTGTATACCCAGCGGAAGGAAAGCCATCAGAAAGAACATAGTTCGTGAAAACCTCCCGGCTCTGCAAGATCATTTCACAGCACATGAATAAATTCTCAGAAATACACCACAGCTCCCAGAGAGAAAGAGAGCTTCCCTGTCCCTCATGTAAGCCAGCACACTGGAGTGATGAGCTTGTAAAATAAGTGTTAGGGAAGAGAGCTGACTTTGAAGGCCAGAGGCAGTTCCAGACAGCACCCTTGAATGACTGAACATCTTCCATATTTGATTCTTCTGAAAGCAAGAGTCTTTGAATGTCAAGTTCATGTTTACAAAGCACATAAGTTCATTTCTAAGATACAACATTATTTACATATCATCAGCGAGACAAATTTCTTGGACTTTTTCTATCAGAGAAAGTTAATATTTAAGATTCTGGACAGGAAATTAAAAAAAAAACAAATAAACAAAGAAATAAGCAAACAAACAAAAATACCAATCTATAAAGTAAGTGATTAGGAAAACAAACTTCTCAAGTCTTCATGACTAACTAGTCTTTCACAAGTTGGTGGTCTGGCCAGAGGCAGATAGGGTAAACTCTATTACCTGCTTATTCTGAGGTCTGGACTCTGAGTATCACTCATATCCAAACACATATTCCTTTTTCCTGGTGGTCAGTGTTCTTTCTTCTCAGGCCTGGGATATTATGTTACTGTTTAGATGAAGCCTGTGAAGTCCTGTACTGGCTACTCTCTTCTCCATCTCTAGGCAGGATGGAGCAAAATGCTCCATGGAGACTGGGCCCCCAAAAGAGCTTAGGATTTGAGCAGGATTAAAATCCATGTGAGGTATTTGGAAGAATGCTATCCAGTGCTCCAGGCCTAGAAGAGGGGATGGTGACCGCAGAACCTAGGAGAAGAGAGTCCCAAGAGGCCGAGATGCTCACAGGAGGAATCCCCTCTTTCTGTGTCAATATATCAAAGAGGACGTGGACTTATAAAGAGAAATTTAAAAATTCTCTGTTTTAGGATAAATGAGTATAGTGAAGTATTGAAACATGATAAAAACTGAAGTAACATGAAACAAAAATTCTTATCAGATAAATCTGGCACCCCATGCTTGGGACTTCAGTGTGCCCAACAGATCACATGGTGATCCCTTGTGGTTTATTTACCCCAATATCCAAAAACAAGTAAGTTAAATGCATTCTACTTATAATGGATCATTTTTGATAGGTTTTAAGTAGGTCCATAAAAATGTACATTTTCACTTACAAAGGTTCGTTCATTTGCTAGGGTTTGTTAGAACCCCTACTTCCCCAACAAAAGCAACAACAAAAAACAAAATCCCCAGCAAAAGAAAAAGCCTTTAAGCTATAAAACTAGTGTCCAAGAAAAACATTTAGTTTGAAAACAAGTTGAAAAACGTAGTCTTGGAAGGCACACTGCTTACATGGGATTGTTCAACAAATTCCTGCTGTGTGAGGTTTGGCATATATTTCTAAAAATATAAGCATCTGGGGAAACAAGACAAAGCCCAGGTCTTGGACCAAATGAGGCACGCAGTGTGAATCTGTTAGTGATTATATCCATAATGCAATCTGTGCTCAAATTTAGCAGTGCAGAATCGAATACAGTATAAACGCCCAGCAGGCACGGTCCTTACCATAATATATAGCCCACGGAGAAGGTGCATATGGCGGCGAGTCCACTGCTCCTGCTGGGATACTGATGGTGGGATGTCCTCATCTCGATTAATATAAAGGGTAAAACCGTTGTGTGCTGGAAAAGAATGGGGAAGATTCTTATCATGGCCTCTTTACAGTAATTTCTCTCCAGCAGGAGAACGAATGGTATAAATTCCCCTGAAAGACCCACAACAGACAGCCGTGCACAGCTCTCCCATGAGAGCATGGATATAAAAATACGTACTGCAGCAACTGCTCGATGAGTATTTTTTTTTTGTCTGTACCTAAAGTTTTGAAATTTTATTTTATTTGATATTCACAATGGGAAAGTTTTATAACATAAGAGGGCACAAAGAAAAAAAAAAGAGGGAGACCGAAGAAAAGAGAGAGACCAAGAGATGGACAGTTAAGCACATTTGCATGATCAGCTCATTCTCCATTTTATACAGTCTAGGATCCCCTGCCTAGGGGATGGTCCTGCTCACAATTGAGGTGGGTCTTCTCACATCAAATAGCATAATCAAGATACCCCTTCCCCTAGGCATGTATAGATGTCCGTCTCCAGGTGAGTCTAGACCCTGTCAAGGCAACAACGAACACAAGCATTGTTGTTACAGTTGCGTGTGCTATTTTTTCTTTTCTATGCATACTCCCTATACATAGGTAAGATCACACTGTGAGGACAGTTTTGGTTTGGGCTTACCACAGTATTGTAGTTTAAGAATATTTTAAAATTTAAGTTATATATGTTTCTCTCTATCTATATATCTATATATACATATATGTATGTATGTATACAATGAAAATAGCATTTCTTTTTTCCTTTTATTGAAGATAGATTTTTTTCTCCCTGATTGGTTTTCCTTCTCCACTCCTCCTAGTTCTTCCTCATCTCCCCTCCCATCCGGATCCACATCCTTTCTGTCTCTTGTTAGAAACCAACAGGCACCTAAGGGATAATAATAAAACATGATAAGATAAAACGAAACAGATTGGAACAGGACAAAACAAACAAACGCAAGTAAGAGAGTCCAAGAAAAGGCACAAGAAACACATACAGATGCAGACACACTCGTTCGCACACTCAGACATCCCATTTAAATAAAAAAAACCAGAAGCCATAACATATAAGTAAAACCTGTAGGATAATAAACAAATAAACAAATAGAATTAGAATAACAAAAGCCCTGACACCATCTGTATATATTTTTAAATAAACACAGTATTTCCCTATGATCTTTCCAACATCCTTACTGTTATTTATCCTTCTTCCTCCTTACCCTACCTCCTCTACATCCAGTTAAGTCCTGTCTGATTTCTCCCTTTCCACTTTCAAAATACTTGTGATCTACTGTTAGCCTCCCTTGAGCTCTTTCTCCAAGCCCCGCTGCCACTTCCTACTTTCCCAGCTTCTGTGGTCACTCGAGGTGATATATTCAAATCTACAGATCCACAAATAAGAGAACACGCATTTTGCCTTTCTGGCTCTGGGTTACCTCACTCAGTTTAGTATTTCCCAGTTCTATCCATTTACCTGCAAATTTGATGATTATGATTTTCTTTACATCTGAAAAGAATTCTATTGTGCATTTGTACCACATTTTTCTTATCCATTCATCAGTTACCAGAGATTTAGGCAGCTTCTATTTCCTGCATATTGTGAACAGAGCAGCAATAAACAAGGTCAAACACATCTCCGAGGTAGGATGTTGAGTTCTTCAGATATATGCCAAGGCGTGCTATAATTCGGTCATACGATAGATGTGTTTTTAGGTTTTTGAGAATTCTCCACACAGATTTTCATAGTGGTTGCACCAGTTTTCATTCCCACCAACAGTGAAGGAGGGCTCCTCTTTCCCACATCCTGGTCAGCATTAATTGCCAATTGTTTCCTTTATTTTAGCTATTCTGACTCAGGTCCCGTGAAATCCCAAAGTAGTTTTGATTTGCTTGTCTTGATTGCTAAGGATGTGAAACACTTTCAAAGTTACTTTTAATCATTTCAAAAATTCAATGTGCTTCATAATAAAAGTCCTAGAAAGCATATGAATGGAGAGAACATATCTCTACATAAAGGCTATATATGACAAGCATCCCACATCATCCTGAATGGAGAAAAACTTGAAGCAATCTCATTAAAATCAGAAACATGACAGGGCTGGCTACTGTTCTTGCTCCTTTTCAACATATTGCTTGAAGTCCCAGCTACAGCAACCAGGTAAGAGAAGGAATTCAAAGGGATACAAATAGGAAAAAAAGTCAAAATGTCCCTATCTGCAGGGGAACATCATAAAAATTCTACAAGGGAACTTCTAGAAGTAACTAATACTTTCCTCAAGGTGGCAAGATACAAAATCAACTTACAAACCCCATCAATCTTTCTATATACCAACAACAAACACATTGAGGAAGAGAGCATGGAACCATTACCATTCACAACAGCCTCAGTAATATCCAGGGAGAAACCTAACAAAGGTCGTGAAAGACTTCTTAATGAAAACTTTAAATCTCTGAAGAAAGAAACTGAGGAAGACATTTGAGGATTTTTAATATGCCACTTCAAAATTCTGTTAAGAATACCAGTCTTGACCAAAACTGCCTAAAATTTACAGTGTGGATGTTCTCAAATTTATATAACCAATTTCTGTTCTCGGGCAGTAAATGACAAAAGGCTTTCAGCTTTTCATTTATTAGAAATGTCATGGTGTACATCCCTTCCTTCGGATGTCAAGTTGCTTCTTTAGAGTGAGAGGCAGTAAAGACTTCAAGGCTCCTGACACAGACAGTCAAATCCTGTGTGTAGCAACACCATGTGGGAACGTTGAGTTTGTACCAGTTTGCACTCACACTGTGTAGCCGTGGATGTGACATCTGAAAGTAGAATCCCAAGGAGCAAAATGGAACAGTACTTTCTTCTTCTGCTTTAGTGGCTACTGTACATACCAAGCATGGTGGGCCAGGACGACAGAGATGGAACTGTCCCCATTGAGAAGGATAAAAAGAAGAAAGCCACTAAGTTTCTGAATTCCCCACAGATCAAACACTTTTGGTACGGGAATCTGACGGAAAGACATACGATATGGTCTGAGGTCTTATGGAAAACTGCATGCCCCCCATACCCCCACATCTTCCACCTTTGGAGACACTCTTCAGAGTTCAAAAGTGGCAGAAGTGACTATGGAGCCATCAGTAAGTTTCAACTCTATTTAGCGCCTCCTGAACAGCCGTGAAAAACTCTTTGTCCTGATCGTGCTGTATTGTTTACATAGTCAAGGAAAAGGCAGGAAATTGAATGTTAGGATTTTCAAACTCTAGCATTTTAGCAAAATGGAATCAGGTGGCAGGTAAGTGTTGGCAGGTGAAAGACACGTTGGGGATATCAAGATAAGTAATTTTGGAAAAGGTTTCTGGCTCATATTCATAGAGAAAATAGAAAGATGTGGTTTTGTAGTAAGTATTCAAGTGCTGGACATTCTTGGCCTCAGAATTCTCTTCTACATCCCATCTATCTCTGAGTATTCATTAGCAAGAGTGTGACATTCCATGAGTATAAGGTGAGTGACTCCACAGATGGCTAGCTTTTTTATTCCATCTTTTATCTTCCCTAATATTGTTATTTTGAAACAGTACAATCACCTCTGTAGTGAACTATGCAAGAGGTACTGTGTGCTAATGCAGAGACGGAATGCATTTTAGAGATGGATTCTATTGTTTTTCCCTTTCAATCTAGTTACCTCAGATGACACTGGCTGGGAATTTCACCAACAGTTTGAGATATCAGCAGTAATATTACAGTATAAAAATCAAAATGCATGTCTTGTCAAATGTTACACAGAAAAAGATCTGCAAACTGTACTTTTACTCTGAGCACAATGTTGACCCTGAAGGCCTGGGTGGGTTATAAGTGACAGCATTATGATTTGGACTGGTTATTATGAAGGAATTTCTAAACTCTACTTCTTCATCCACTGATCCAAAGTGAGTAGAAAATTGAGCCACTTTTCTATGAACTTAGTGTAAACAACGGACTCAAATATGCTCAGTTGCCCAGTTACTTTCTTGTACCTAGCATGCCTGCTGATGATCAGATGTTGTACTTGGCAAGGTCACAGTGTGCTTTGCTGATGCCAGACAGGAAGTGGTTTGAGAAAAGGAAGATCTGATAGACCACTGTGTCACCAGCATCTTATGTATGAAAAAGGGGGCAATGGATTCCATCAGTGACCTGGCCACTGACAAGGGACTTTCATGTGGCTAGCTGCACATATGAAGACGTGGCCAGTGGCAAATCACAAGGGAGGTATTTTTTTTAAGCAAGGTAACATTTCATCATTCATAATTTTCATGCACAAAAGAATATACAGTCACCCATCCAAACATTTTTGGTACAAATTATTCCTACTTATAAATAAATAGTATCTATCAATAAAACAAACACAGTGTCAAGTATTTACCCCAAATATCAATGTCTTATAAAGTTTCATGAACTAAAAAAATTGGTAAGTTATGTACGCTCCTGCAATAACTGAGCTGGAAGGTTAACTCTGGAGCAGCAAGAAGGATGCTTACTTTAGAACTATATGGACAAGAACCCCAGTGCCAATTGACTCCCAGGTAGCACTCCACCTCAAGGACTTGAGCACACTCCACTCAAGGACAAGATATATTTTCAATTAGGACCATGGCTTCATGGGAATGGAGAGTTTGCATTTTGGCTTGCTGGGCTAGCTAGTAGCACTTAGAGAAGACCCTGGCATATAGGACACATAATAAATATCTGTTGTGATACTTTTGAAATCATGTTCTAAGAGGATACTATTAAATTCATTCTGCAGATGAGACAACAAAATGCTCAGGTTATCTTGCAAAGAGTATCCCAGAGCTGCTAGGTTTGGAAGGATGATTTAAAAACAGGTTGTTCTGAGCCCACCTCCAAATCGTCTCTTTGCATTAGAATCACGCATGTGTATGAACATAGGGCCTCACACATCCTAAGCAAGAGTTCTACCACTGAGCTATATCCCTACCTTTCCACCTCCTTTCACTTTTTATTTTAATACAAGCTTTCACTAAGTCACTGAGGCTGACCTTGAA